TATTTCTAACATTTGAAATAAAAAAGCGAAACTGTCATGATCTGGCCTGTTTGCTCTCCCTTAATTAGTCATTCCTTTCACCTGTCGTTTTCCCTCCCTGCCTCAATTATAATTTATTCCTCTGACCTGTTTCCTCTGGTTATATTCAGTTCACCCTGAGCATTCAGGGCCAGATCATTAACTGTTTTTTCTGTTAGTCTGTCTGTTCAGTTTTAGTTCATGGTTCATGTCCTGGATCCTAGCTGCCAGTGGAAAGAGGGATTTAGTGTTTGTCTCGTCTCCTGATCGTCCACTGTTCCTCCCCCGCTGAGTCCTCTGGGTTTTTGGCTCTATATGGGGGGAGGTTCAGTTTTTATCCAGTAAGCCTGGCTCCAGGGAGGAGACCAGTTTAAAGTCCTGCATCAAGTTCTGGTTCCACGTCCTGTCTCGGCTACCCTCTTCCACTGAGCCTGCCTGTCTGCACCTGATCCTGTCTGCTCCTGTGCGTGTCCACCTGGTCATGCTTCTGGTCCCAGTCAGACTCTGAACCCTCCTGGGAGCCTGTGGATGCCTGGAAGTCTGGATCCTGCCACCCGTTCTGTTCCCGCCTGATCTGGATCCTGTTCATGTCGGTTGTGGATCCCTGACCAGGATCAGCTTCCAGCATGTCCTCTGAACTGCAGCACTGGGGACATTCTTGGACTGGACTGTTAAACCAGGTAAGTGGCCAACTCAGAGAATCATCTTCTGTCAGATGATCGTGGTCACTTACCTGTGTTTCTCCTGCAGTACGTCTAAGATTGGGTGGTGCCCCGCCCCCCTCCTGCAGTGTCCGCGAGCCACAGCTCCACCTTAGTTTTGTTTGTTAATAAATGTTTTGGCGTTTTCCTACTGACTGTCTCTCCTTGAATACTGGGTCCTTCTGTCCTCGTTTCATGACAGAAACGTCTTCAATCTTGGAAAAAAATTCTAGTGGATTGTTTTTTTTTTTACTGTTTTGGAAGAACCTTAACCGAACACTGCTCCCGGGGCGCCGCACAGTGGCAGCCCACTGCTCCCTAAGGGGAGGGGTTAAATGCAAAGAGACATTTCTCCAGAGATCAATAAAGTTTTATTAACCAGGTGAAACACATTCAGCATGTTTCTACGGTTTAAGGTCATATTTCAGAGGACGTGCCGCAGTAACCAGACACTGTCCCTCTGCTGCACTGCTTGCTTCCACTGTCAGCTTTCACTGCCTGAATCTACCAGACGGAAATAAATCAGATCAGAGGCTGGAGGTCGTCCCGAGTTCAGCATCCAGCTACCCCTAACCCGAACCATTCCTGGCAAACATCCTGTCATCAATTTGTGTTGCTAATGGTGGTTAGCACCAAAACAAATACATCTAATTTTCTCGTCATAATAAATAAGGGTCAGGTGTCATCCCAGCTCCCCGACAAACGACATTAGAATAAAGCAAGCACTGGTTAGTAAGGCACTGCAGGGGCAATGATACTCCCAACCAGAGGGTGGCGCCAAACACATCCGATAAACAAACTGATGGAGATTATTCTACGCAATCCAGCTTTCAAATTTCCCACCATTTCGGCTACTGCTGCAAACATAACGTTCATAAAAACACTTTTCAACATGTTAGCTTAAGCTAATAAACAGAAGTAAGAATATCTCAACGTGTAAACACTGAAAACCGACGAAAAAACCCCTGACCTTCGGACACAGAATGAAGACCTGCCACAAAGGAGTTCAAACGTAAAGTTTAGCTGCTGCCGATGTGCGTAGCGGCCATCTTGAATATGGAAGCTAGGTATGGTTATGATAACCTGACTGTCTAATTTGGATTTTCCGACTTTTAGGGCCATTATTTTTAAAATGTTTTACACTGAGGTTGGAAAATCGTACTTGTACGTTCTGTGGAAAACTAGCATTAAGGAAGTTTATAGCGACATTTTATCTCTCAGGGAAACAACGATACAATAACGGCGATGGAAAAACTAAATTCATGAAGTAAAACATCGGCATTTAGTGCAAAGGAAAATGGCAACAAAATCGCAATGCTGGTTGAGAAAAATCGCAAATTTTGATTAAAGGCTTAAGGACTGGTTATACTCCCCGCAGCAGTGAGTCGCAGTGAGCTTGACGCAGACGATTTTGATTTATGCTAAAGTTTGAAGCATGGTCTGCGCC